GACAACTCAGGCTTGCTAGTTAAAAGGTTTATTTTTGCTTTTATTCCCAATCTAAGACTGCATTCCAACTTCTTGAACAAAGATATAACCTTGGTGAAACTTCATTCACTTTCTAGAAGTTATACCAGTGATGACTTCAAGAAACCAGGTTAAGAAAGAGCTTGCATTGAATTTACTAGCGTTTTTGTTCTGAGCACAGATTGAGTCTGTTCAACAACTTTTGATTGACTTGTCTTAGAAAGGAACTGTGGGAGCTTTTGCTAGCTGTATGGAAAGGTGGTTGATCTCTTTATATCACAGCTTTTTTTCATTGTCAGAAACTTTATTCACTCTGTTTTATAGCTTCTTTCTGTGTTTGAGAAGGAAACTCTCTGTAGTGGTCATTCTATATGAATTCCCCCCCACCCCTTACTCATCATGAGAAGAGAAAGATTTTGACCCGTACTCAAATATCCCCAGTAGCCAGAAATGTTTCCAGGCTTCATTTGTCTTGCAGGGCTCAGTATATAAATGCAATGGAGAAAGATTGAGCATTGGCAGTAGGTAATTTCAGAATATAGTGAGTGCTGCAAGACTCAGCCACCCTACCAAGACACCCCAATCTTTGATGGATCAGGGGGAAGAGCCCAGAAAAAACAGCTCTTTTCGTCTAACATGTATAGCTACTTTGTTTTCTGGCACATACTTCCTCACCCAGCAAATTCCACCCATGCACCATAATGGATTCCCATAGATCAGTGTTGTCCAAACTTAAACGGCACAGTAGTCAGAATGCATACTGACCATGATGTGCCCGCATCAAGAAACTGAGGCAAGCCACATGTAGCATTTATTTTATATTCAAGGAATTATGCATGCAGAAGACTATCCAGTGAACACTCATTTTAAAGAAGAGGAGCTTCTCCCAAAGTCATCTTTAAACATGAAATGGCTAATGTTGGAAAGTGAAGTGCCCAAGGCCACAAGCTGAACAGAGGTAGTCAATGCTTCCAAACAACAAGCTATTCTTCTAATGTGACATTTAGTTATTTGTTTGTTTATTTATTTAAAACTTTTGTATATCATGCCATCCCAGACATCTTGGGATGGTTCATAATAACAACAGTAAAATAAGATAAAAAAATAAGAGTATCACACATCCAATACTAAATGTAAAACCACAGATTGAGATAAATTGGCAATTAAAATAGTGGGAAAATAAAAAGGTTTTCACCTGGTGCCAAAAGGAAAGGAGTGTTGGTGCCAGACGAGCCTCTCTGGGGAACTTGTTCCACAGTCAGGGTTCCACCACAGAGAAGTCCCTCCTCTGGGTAGCCACCTTCCTAATCTATTTGAAGGAGGGCTCCCAGAAGAGCACCTCTGCCTCAGATCTCAAGGGGTGAGAGGGCACATAGGGAAGAAGGTGCTCCTTCAGGTATCCAGGACCCAAGCTGTTTAGGGTTGCTTTTTGTTTTATAGAAAATAAACTGCTTGGTTTCCCATAGAGATCTTAGGTCAATTAATTATGACCAGCTATTTATCCAGATCCTTCTAAAGCCATTCTCCTTCATGCCATATCAATGTGTAGCCTAGGCCATTATTTTCCTTCCTGCTGCCATCCACATGAATAGCCAGTGGGGTGTGGAAACAGGCCAGAGGTGGGATCTAAGGCAGGAGTTCTTTGGAAGTGGAGACTGAGGTTTTAGAAAGAGCAATGGCCAAGCTGCAGCCAGTCACCCAACATTGCAGGTGGCGGTGATAACTGAGCCAGACTGTCCCATTACCCATCTTCTAAAAGTTAACAGCCTGCTCAGAAATCTTCCTTGTAGCCACAGAAAAAAGTAGCCGCCTTAAATGTATCTGTGGCCCTGTGCTAGCACTGTGGGGTATATGCCAGAGTGCCATGTTGAGGATATGGGAGTGGGCACCGCTGGATATTTTTAAAATACTCTCATCCATTCTCTTCCTTTTAAAAATCTGTGTACAGTGGTACCTTGGCTCATGAACGCCTCAGTTCATGACCAAATCAGGTTGCGAACAAAAATTTCATAAAAATTTTGACTTAGGTCATGAACTGCACATTGGGTGACGACTGCAATCGCGACCATCTCTCCACCCACCCAAGTGGGGAGATGGCCGCGATCATGCTGGGGCTGTGGGGGAGATGTCCGAGATCGTGCCTGTCTTTCCTTTCCTAACAAGCGTGCCTGTTATTGCTCCCATCTTTCCTGCAGGAGTGCAACTGCGATCTCGGCCATCTCCCCCCCCCCCCAGCATGATTGCGCCCATCTCTCCCTCTCCCCCCGAGTGTGCCTGCAATCGCACCTGTCTGTCCCCCCTCCCCCCAGCACGCCGGGATGACGGGTGCGTGCAGGGATGAGGAGCACAATCGTGGTCGTGTTGAGGGGGCGGGGAGATGGCTGCGATCTTTGTTGTTCTTTGTCACTTTGCTTTACATTTTTCTGATTAAAAAAATAGTTACAGAACAGATTAAGCTTATTTACATTGACCCTTATGGGGAAATGTAACTTGGCTCATGACCAATTTGGGTCACAACCAGAGTCCTAGAATGGATTAAGTTCGCCAAGGTACCACTGTATTCCTCATTTGGCTCTCAGGTGGCAGTTCAGCAGTTCCAGAAATGAGCGTTCAGCTTTGATATCTTATCTTTCTGTGTTCCCCTTTATGACCCAGAGCCCGTATAGGCAACCACACTACCTTGGGGTTTATGCATCCAGAATCGTTTGGTTATCTCTCTCATCCAGCCAAGTGACCAGTGGGTTTTCAACTGCACATCAAATGGAGACAGATGCAAATTAAAGGGGAAATGTTCATCTGTTGAGGTTTCCATAATACCATGCCAGCACACTCAGTTATTGTTTTCAGACTTTGAGTGTTTAGTGTGTGTGTGTGTGTGTGTGTGTGTGTGTGTGTGTGTGTGGAGGGATATAGGGCTATGTGGATTTTGTACTACTCCTCTCAAGAACTCCAGCTTGGCCATTAGTGAAGAATGAAGAGAGTTGTGGCCCTCTGGTTTTTATGTGAGCGTGTTATTTGACCACATGTTTCCCAACCAATAGGAAGCAAATGTAATGGATGATCAAATGGGTAAGATGAAGCTATGGAAATGTAATACTTCCTGTGCCATTCAATACATAACAATATAAGAATAGTTTTGCTGGATTTCATCGTAGGCCATTTAGTCTAACATTTGGTATTCACCCATGTGTTCCTAAATAGTCATAAGCATAAAATTAATGACTTCTTGCTCCTTGCCAGCATCTCATATCCACCTGTTTCCTGTAATACCCTTTAAGGCCACCTAGACTAGAAGTGAATATAGCATACTAGTACATTTTATAAGCTAGTTCTTGTGTAGGTTGTATTTAATTTTGTCTTGAAGTAAAATACTAAGTAATGATTCTTGGTAGCTTGTCTGCTGTGGATTCCATGCTAAAGCCAATATATAGAAGAGTTACACTATAATTTGAGAAAGCGCTAGATGGGAACAGAAGCCACATGTTGAGAAATGGTTGATAGATTAATAAATTCATCCTTAAATGTATTTTGTAGTACACTTTGTTCTTTATTAATGTGAATCTCCTATTAATATTCTTCCAGAACTGAAATAATATATTTGAACCTGTTTTATCTATGTGGCCCATTTCTTTTCTGAATAATGGATGTTCATGAAAGGAATGGAAGAGAGAACAAAATAGGATTGGCAAATATATTCTTTGTAGGTAATGTATTTGCCAAACTTGTTCTGTAACCAGAGTGAGCAGGAAAGGTGCTGGAACATTTGTTTTATGTGGGATTCTATGCACAACAACAATGTACATATTAGGCTGCCTTAAACAGGATGGTTTACCTAAGCCAGAATGATCTACTCTGAGTGGCTTTTAAAGGTCTCTGGCAAAAAAAGGCAATTTTCTCAAGCTTGGTTATGATTGCTCAAGGATTGAACCAGAGACATTCCACTTGCCAAACATACGTTGGATCTACTGAATTTTAGGCTTTGAATTTCCTGTGCGATATATATAAAATTTGTCTAAGATTGTCTTTAACACCAGTTTTTTATAGAAAGTAAATTTGAGAAAGCACAGATGAGTTAATATATATATTTGTTTCACAGCATCACAAATAATGCATTCTTGTCTAGATAAATCTGATTAAATTTCAGTATTAACTGAAGTTTATATTGTGCATCTTTTCCTTATCAGAAGCTCAAAGCAAACAGATATCAAAGCTTGCTCAGTTTTGCCCTTTTCTTTGTGAAAGAGGAAATGTTACTTGTGTAACTCCACAGTGGTATTTACATAGAACTGATTATTGCAGTGCCCTTTCCTCTCTTTCAAAATGTGAGATAAAATGTCCTCAAGGCTCTGCTTAGAATAAGGAGTTTTAATGAACCCTGGGCTAGTATCTTTTTGCCACAGCATTTTAACACTTGTGTGTCAATTCAGCTCACATGCTTCTGTGAAAGCAGTGAGGACCTGGCCCAATGTGCTTGGGATTGCTAGCACTTACCATTTGAGAACCACCTCATGTAGACAAAGTTCTTATCTGAACCATTAGATACCAGTACTCAGTTAGGTACCATCTGCTTCCCCAAGCAGTAGCCAAAGACCAAACCTGTTGGTATGGTCAAGGCTGAGAAGGTGTTACTTCAACAAATGGCATCCGTCCTGCAAGAATGACCTGAGAATCTGGCGTGAAGGGCTAAAGTGTGCTTAACTGATGAGAGCTGAGATGATCATTTTTGGAGAGACTGTTATTACTGCTGCAAGCCTAGTGTAATAAATGGGCTGTTCTTTGTGCCCTCCTGGTCAAGTGCAGCCTGCAGCTTGGAATGTAATGATGATGACCTCTGTTGGCAGAGTAGAGCGTCTCTTTCATCATTAGACAGCAGGCCCTATGCATACCTGTCATATATTACTTATTCACTCTAAGCATGAAAATCAATGTTTTTCAGTGCTGCTCCCAACATTTTTTTTCTTTGTGTATGTGTTTCCCTGCAGAGCACAGATGAAGAAACCAGGTGAGACCATTTCCTTCCTTTTTTCTTCTCTTCCTCCTCTTCCCATTATGCCCCTTAACTGTGTGTAATTCCACTGGGAATGCAAGCAAGACTTCTAACAGACTTTTTAAAAAAGATACTGGCTTTCTGTTTTATGGGAGGAAAATGTAGAACTTTGAGGCAATGCTAACAGCATGCTAAATCATGTACAATTGGAGCACTGTTGGTTGTCTGCTTTCGAGTTTCTTACTTCAGTTAACAATGTACATTCATTGTATTGATTGCCATGATGGTCCAACATATCAACCCTCCAGGCAAACCTATTATCTCTTCTCATTTGAGTTCCTGAAATCAAGACAGGAAATGCTGCAACTGAAAATAAATGGTCAGCTGTGTTGGCTGGTGGCTCATGCTTAGATGCAGCACATTTCTTTCCTTGAAAAAATATTCTTTTAAAAAAGTGATCTAAGCAAATCACAAGACCTGGGTAAGTAATTGGTCACTTATGTGCTGTCTTCTGTAGGTCGGGGAGGAAGTTACCTTTTTATCATCTCTTCCCAAACAGCCATGCATACAAGATTGAAAAGCGTGTATGTAATTGATATGAAGAATGTATATTAGTAAACAAAATACATTTCTAAGTTTGTTCAAACCAATAGCACTGGGAGCTGCTAATGTGGGAAAACCATGAAGCACTTCCCTTCAACTACTGACGCTGGTATAAATCCACTTCTCTTGCAATTTAGATAACAACATGCTGCCTAATAAGGTTTTACGTACTAACTCAAACTCATCTGCTATAGCTTAGTTGTAATCTTTGTAACAGTTGTAACCAGTCAGTCTTAGAGGAGTTCAATCCTGACTGCTCTTTAGCAGGCCAGATACTGAAGATGAAAATCAAGTGCTTTGGCCACCTAATGAGAAGGAAGGACTCCCTGGAGAAGAGCCTAATGCTAGGAACAATAGAAGATGGCAAAAGAAGAAGGGGGCAGCAGAGCTAGATGGGGTCACTGAAGCAGTCGGCGTGAGCTTAAGTGGACTCCGGGGGATGGTGGAGGACAGGAAGGCCTGGAGGAATGTTGTCCATGGGGTCGCGATGGGTCAGATGCGACTTTGTGACTAGCAACAGCAACAGCCTCAGTAAACAGTGAATGAATTGCTGTCTTAAAGCTAACAGGTTGCAATACTGGAACCAGCCAATTGACTCAGTTTGACTATCATCTTGTGTGGTAATGAGAATAGGATTCAACTTACTTCCACACATTTTTCTGCTCTTGTTCCATATTCTGTGCTTCTTATGATAACCCATTCTTGGCTTATTTGCAGCTTTATAAATATACAAAAAGGTTTCCTTTCCTCCTGAATCCTTCAAGTCACTTCTGTGGGTTAAGTTAAACCAAGTTACACTGAAGCACATGTGACTTATTTTTTGGTAGAATTCTTTGTACATGTCTTCCTGCAGTATTGCAGCAGGGAAATGGGAATTCATTTGGACAATGCCCAGTGCAGTCCTTATGATCAATGTGACTTCCGCTATCAATGTGACTTCCACTATTTTGATGTTGAGTTTGGTGCAGGCTGACAGCTGAATGGATTGTTCTGCTGCTTCCTCTCTTCCCTGTGGGCCTTATTTTTCATAGCCATATGCTTTTCTCTGTAGGCAAAGGAACGTGTTCTAATAATATAAGGTGAACCTGGCATTCCTAATGCTTATAATTTCTGCCTTGACAGTTGAATGACTGCTCAGATGGGTACTGCACATGTCCATCAGTTTCAATAAACCTAGGCTTTTCTGCATAGCTCTTGGAAAGTATTGTTGACTTTGTCGGAAAGCTAGCTTGGGAAGCATCTGGGAACAGACAGGAAAAGAAAAAGGGGAAGAGAAATGCTAAACACAAGTTGTGGTGCTTAGTTTCAGCTGTACACATTTGATGCTTTTTTGACGTTGAGATGAAAAGGACTGAAGGCCATTGGTGTGGAATGTTCTAGGGAAAGTTGCTCAGCTGTATTTATTGCTAACTCATCATGGTTCTCATCTCATCGTGTTACTCATAGATAGTTTATGCATTTTTGAAGTAGTACATCCCAAAGAGAAAGCAATAGCTATGTTGAAAGCTATTGCTTTCAGATATTCTTAAAGGTACATATAGCAGAGGCTGTAATGCTTCTTGTAATCCCTTGTTGTCCCAGTATAGAATAAGTCAGAGCTGTCTGCAGGATTTTGGCAGAGGCTTTAGGCAGAAGCATTAGAGTTAGTCTAAACCAGCAGTGGTCCGTGCTTTTTGGTCCAGCCTGTCGCAACAGCATTGCATGTGGGAGAAGGGGAAGGATGAAAGAGTTGAAGACCGAACCAGTTTGGATTGGGTGTGGTGGTGGTGCACAGCTTTGCCTGACTGAAGAAGCTGGCTGCTGCTAGTTTAGAATGGACCCGCGCATGCATGGATACCCTCTTCAGAGGTGTTCCTCTGCACGCCACACCATCTGAAACGAGGCATTTGGGGTGTTGTTCCCATTTGCTGGACTCTTCCCAGGAATGCTTATCTGGCACCTTCACTTAGGTGTATTAGAGCTCTTTATTTTCACAGACTTTAAATCTCTGACCCTCTACCCTCTGTTATTGCATTTAGCACTGCTGTTTTCTATTGGTTATTGTAAACTACCCTGAAGATGCTGAATTTTTAAAAAGCAGGATAATCTACCTACCACCATTGTCTAACTGCCAAGTGTGACAACAGCTTCTCAAGTGCTCTTCATATAAGAGCCTGTTTTATATTTTCAAGATCATATATGTATTGGAAAAGTAACTTCATTTGTGTGTGTTTGTGTGTCTGTATTTCTTTTGTCATTTCCAGTCCAAAAGCACCACACTTTTACTAGTCCCCTTATTTCATATGGTAGTTCTCCCCCACCCTTTTATTTTATTTTAAAACAATCAAGTTTAAAAAGAAGAAAATAAGAATACAAGTAAAGATTACAAACACCAAGGATTTTCCACTGTTGTTATCCCCATTAAAAAGAAGTTGCGTGCCATACAATTTCCACCTATCATTAATGTCTTTGACCACTTACCTTTCTACATGACCAGTCAATTTTAACATTGCTACATAGCCAACTGACTTTTTTTTCTACTCTTCAGGTATTAAATTTCTTCTGCTTTCCATTTTAAAGCAGTGTTTCACATGTGGCAATTCTTCATGGTGCTTTATCCAAATATTGCAAAACAGATCTCCTAATCTTTCCGCACAACTGGTTAGCTTCCTTGTGCCCCACAAACTATGTTTTGTGTCCGTCTTTCCCATCCGCATAGTGTGTTTTTTCTCTCATCCAAGGGACAGCCAAGGTCCGGTGCTCTCTCCTCTTTTCTTTCTGTATCCATCTTTCTCGTACTGACCTGCTCTTCAGTAGCCCTTCCTGTCACCATCCATCAGTCTGTCCTAATTGTGTCTGTTAAAATAAGCTGTATGTGAAGAACATGCAGAACCTGGGCCTTTTTTTTTCCTGAAGTCGTGACATCACTCCCTACCCCTTTCTCCCTTTCTTGTTTCACATAAGCTTATGCATTCTTAGCTTGATTTTATGTGTGTATGACCTGTGCATTTGAAGTCCACAGTTGAAATTCCCATTCAGTTATTAATACACTGGGTAGCTCAGGCCACACTCTCCCCATCTCTGCATCTCTCTAATATGTATCTGCTGTGTGAATAACAATACTTGCAACTTTTACAGGATTGTTGCAATAATTGTTACAGGATTGTTGTAGTGCTGTGGTATTTTGTTTTTAAAACTTTGTGCCCAGGAAATTCTGTCTGTTGAGTTATGTAACATTTTTCAAACTTCCTATACTCTGGGAAGCCCTTTCCGTATTGGAATATCTAAGAGTGAGCTTAGGAATGCCATTTTGGGGGGTGAAGGGCACACTGATATTTCATGTTGAATCCTATTTTGCCGTGGCCCTACAGATACTGCATCTAAATGTATGTCCTGCATTGTTCTTCCATATTTGTGCTTCAGTAATGGGAGATACTGGTTATTGTCTTTGAGATTATCTATTACCACAAGCCTTTTCATGAAAGAAGTTATGCTTTCTAGTAGCAAGATTTTTTTAAAGAACCAACGGCTTTGTTTTATGGCTTATATTTGGGTTATATAGACAGCTGGTCATTCCTGTCTGGTCTGATTGTTCCTTTCTATGAATAAGGAGTAGACTGAGGAATGTCTGGTAGACTTAGGTACTGGTAGCCTTTGAACTGGTAGCCAAACCCCATCAATCCTAGCCAGCAAGTTCAGTGTCAGACAGTGGGAACTTTAGTCAAAGTATCTGGAGGGCATCACATTGGGAAGAATTCCTTTAGAAGATGTTCAGCATATGGCTTCATTGCTTGGCTGGATGACTGCATCTTACAGTTCATTCCAGTTTTACTTTCTTTTGTAAGCAACACTAAATGCATATTTATATATAGGTTGTCTTTTAAGGCTTAGCCCATGAAAGATAGCTTGCATAATCATAAGACAAAATAAAACAGAAGTAGAAGTAAAAGAATAAGATAGCAGCATCAAAATTAAAAACCTGGGCTAATAATTCAGCAGCATAGATCTCAAGAAATGAGTGGTTTTGAGAACAGAAGAGAGCCTTGTCAATTGGGTGGTATAAAAATGAAATAAATAAGAACAGTTTCCTCATTTAAAGCACCAGTATTCAGAAACCTTGTATCTCATATGTGCCAACTCAACCACATAAGCATTAGTGTTGCCTACGCAAAGGTTAACATTTCTAGCTTTCCCGACTCTGCACATTTGTCTAAAATAAAACCTCTGTTATAAAGTCTATAACATTATCAGAACAGCTGGAGCAAGTGCCATAAACTAAATGGGACCAACCAATCTTACCAGTAGTGGACATGCTACATTCTCCAGTATATTGTTTACTGTGCTACAATGATGAGGAGCTGTCTCTGTCTCGAGGCCGATAGTCTTTGGTTGTTCAATGATTTTATCTCCATCTTTCTGTATAATGAAGGAAG